GGCTGTGCCCCCTCCCAACTCCTTGTGCACCCCCAGCCTACTCACTGGTGGGGTGGTGTGAGAAGCAGAAAAGGCCTTGACTGTGTGTAAGCACTGCTCAGCAATAACGAAAACATCCCTGTATTATCAACGCTGTTTCCAGCACAAATCCAAAACACAGCCCCATACTAGCTACTATGAAGAAAATTAACTCTATCCCAGCCAAAACCAGCACAACAGTAAATGCAAGGACTGTCAGTGTTTATGTGATGGCAACTTCAGAATTTATACGGGGTTCTGTTTTTCCTTCAGCTGTATCGAGTGTCACTGAGAAGCAATGCTGGAAGTTCAAAGGACAAGCAGTGAAAAATATTCTTCTAACATGTTCCTGTCATGTATGCTGTGAGTGCATTAATTTTTGCTTGAACGATGAAAGAGGGAGACCTGTAAAACAACAATCTATTTGTAATGGGAGTCTGCCCGTAGCGTCCTGATATATGGTCTCGTTTGAGATGTGAAAGGGCCCTGCCAATGTCAGTGTGATAAATACTATTTTTGCAGACAAGATGAGGGGAAACATTAGCCCGGTGAGAGCGTGTGTGAGCAGCAGAACGTGACAAGTGCTGTGCTATGTCTCAGCCTGCGCAGAGCCAGGCTGTGGTGTTTTGCCAATCAAGGTCAATCTGTGCACACACAGGGAATGGTGAAAGGCAGGCGGTGGGAGAAATGCTGTGCTCCTTCGATGCATCATGCCGCACAGCACCGGCCACGTGCAGCTATGGAGATAGCTATGGACATGCAAAAACCCTGGGCTGGGGCTGCCTGGTAATCTGCTGCCGAAAGCATATGTAAGTCACCACTAACAGACCTGCTGCTGCAGTAATTTAAGTTGGTCAGTGTTATCTCATTTCTAAGCAGTCTCCAGAGGTGGGAGGAGAAGGCTGGGGCTCTCTGCGAGCTGGGGGGCCTGGCCGCAGAGCAGTGAGACGTCTCTCCCAACAGTGAGCGCCTGGCACCAGGAGAGGTGGCACCACCCCATGCCTTGGCCCCAGTCTGGTGATGGGGCAAGATGGTGGAGTGGGGCCGCACTCTGCATCATCTATCCCATTACTCTATGAGGCACAGACAGAAAAGTTTCTTTTGCCCATGCATTTCATCTGTGAAACCTCTGCCTCCTGCTGGTGTCGGCATACATCAGCGTGGGCGAGACACAGCATCCCCCAGCATGGGGCCCTCAGTGCAGCGGGAGCAGGATGCCAGCGCTGCTCCTTTGCTCCCAGCCTGGCTTGTGATGGCTATTTTGGTCTGGAGACCAGGAAAGGATTTTTCAATCGTGCCAAAGATGGTATGCCAGAAGGCAACGGTGCAAAAACACAGGAGGTGGGCTGGAGGTGGGGGGCGCTGAGATGCACACAGGTGTTTAGTGGGGCTGAGCCGCAGGGGTGAATGGTAGTTTCTTGGTCCTATAAGGGCTGATGGGTACAGGAACAGATGTTGGGGGGGGGGGTGCCCGGGGGCATCCACTGGCATCCACTGGTCTTGAGCTTATCTTCCCCACTCATCACCGCCCTTCCCATGGAACAAAATGTGGAGACATAGGGGTGCAGGACAGGAGGTGCTGTTTGCGTGCGGGTGTTAGTTGAGGCCACGGCTGTGTGGGTAGGTGAGTCCCACCATGTGACTGCTGCAAGAGCCCTGCTGTGGGATTGAGGTTGTGTCAAGGGGTGACGGAGGCCAGCTGCCCTGCACGTGCCCCCTGGAGAGCCTGGGGACACAGCGGGAGCTCGCAGGGGGCACAGGGCAGCCCTCCCTGGGTGACACCCACTGGGGCAAACCACAGCAACAGCAGCAGCCTGCCACAGGGCAAAGCTGCTCAGCTCACATGGCTTAAATCACATCAGGATCAGAGTGTTTTATTCAACAGCACCTAACCAACCAGCAATCAGTGGACTTTACATTCAGGTTCGATATCAGCAATACAGCAGATAAACCGCATTACTAGACACTTATCAAATGTTAGTAAACACCAATAAAATCCTAAACACCCTTCTAACCCCAAAACCTTCTGGTTACCCACACTGACACATACACATGTGTGTGGTTGCAGCATGGGCTACATGCACATCACATCCCCGGGACCAGCCACTTCTCTGGCCTGCCCAGGTCCCTCTGCTTGGCAGGATGACCGTCTGCTGTCTCAGCCTCTCCCCAGCACTGCACGACCCGCCAGCTCGCTGAGGGTGTGCTCTGCATGGAGCTGGCCCACAGTTTCACCTGTGAGTGAAAGTGGAGCAGAGCTGGTGGCTGATCTTTGCCTCTCATTGCAGGGGTGATGCTGGGTAATGGTTGCTTTCTCAGACTGCTGCCCTTCCCTCTGCCTCAGCAGCCACAGATCTTGCATGTCCCTTATCTGTCTGGCTGCCCTCCTCGCCGCAGGGGTCTTCCAAGCCCCTGGAGTCACCCAACCTGCCACGCTGAGAGCAGCTTCCGCAGGTCCCCTTGCGGCAAGCAGTCTGCCTTCTGCCGGGCATCTGGCTCATCTCCCAGGTGGCTTTCAAACAGCTTGTTCTGCACTCCCACCAGGGTCTGCGTGTTTGCCTCATACCTTTAGATAAGGCTGGGGTGGGCTGTTTTCCCATGGACTGGAGCATGGACATCCTGCGGGTCTGCGAAGTGTCCCCTTCTACCTAGGCTACTGCTGAGTCTCCTGCTCTTCCTTATCCAGTTGTCAGGTGTCAATTTAACAGAATTACAGGCTCCCCTTATGTGCCTTCCTGACCTTGGGCTTTGGCTAGCTTTACTCCACTTGTTTTGGGAATCACTGGTGCATCTCTGGAAAAGCAGGCTCCTCCTGTGAAAGCATACAGCTGGTGTGCATGGATTTTGCAGAAAAATCTTTTATTCCGTGGATCTGCTGGCAATTGCTCCTGGGTCAATCTCAGAAATGTCTGTGTGAAGGCTCACCCCCTTTGAGATGTCACCTTCATTTTCATGCAGAGTCATGGTGTTCTGCTCCACAGAGAAATGCTCCAGTGTGGCTCCTATGATGATGGACACCCTGTCCATGATGGTGGATGTGGTACAAGGAAGGCCAGAGGTGCCTACCAGCTCATATCTGAATGCCAAGATTTTATTTTCCATGAGAGTGCTGCTGACAGGCATGGGTTTCGGCAGAACCAGCACACTGGTAACTCTCACGGCCTCAAAGGGAGCCATGTCTGTCTGAGATTCCAACCTCGTCACTTCACTTGGTCTTCCAAGGAGCATTGCTCTCCCCTGCTGCTGAAGCCACTATACAGGACAATGCAGTGTACAGCAAAAATGACCTTTCTAACATACTTGCATGTCCTATTGGCAATATCTGTCATGAAGACAATGGTGTCATCAGGGCAAAATATGTTTTTCCTCCAGGGAAATCCAAAAGATCACAGAGCCATGACTGAAGCAGCAGAAATAAACCGCATCCTTCCTAGCTTCCACCACCAGTGGGGCCTGCATGGAGGGGGTGAGTGGAAAGGCAAAGCACAGTGACTTCTTGTTGCTGGACATGGGGTGATTCCCAAACACCACATGCATAAATTCCTAACACAACAGCTGAGGCTGCTCAACTCTCCCCACAAGCCCCACCATTAACCCAGAGGACAGTCTTCCTCGCTGCACCGAATGTGACATGGCTGAATTATCACAGTCCTCCTGAGCATCTGTGCAAAGAATTCATGTGTGCACATGTAAAAATTGTCACCTTTAGCTATCCATACCCAAATTTAGAGGGAGGCCACAAAATTATTAGAATCATCATGTACTAGCTGTCTTGATGACCTTTGATTTACTGTCTCAGTCTAGGTAGAGTTCGGTAAAAAAGACACCTCCTATTTGGTGATGTTTGCCCAAGGCTTAGACTCCGAAGGAAGAGAATCTCCCTTTTCCCTCATCCTGGATCTTAAAGCGCTCCCTACATGTCACTCTTGAAGTCTTGCAACGCACCTTGTATGCTAGAAAAGAGACATCTTGGTGCAAGCCCTAGGACAAAGATGGCAGAAGATATTGAAGTGTCATTTGAATGCTAAAAGAAGGAAGCTCAGAGCTAAAAGTTCGTGGACACTCAGTAGTAAGCAGTTAGAGCTCTGGATCAAATCAGGGTAGGTCTGTGTGTCTCCAACTCAGCGAGCTTGTTCCTCTTACTGTGTCTTCCACATGTCTTCTGTGGTCACCAGCAGTTCCTTGCAACAGTAAACATTACTATTTAGCTAAGACAATTTGGCAGCTGCAGCAAGTCCCTTGAACAAACTAGGAGATGCAGGCAATTTTGCCGGTGAATGTGGAGGGAATATTTGGAGGAAAGCTAAAGTGGAAGTTAGAAGTGTGGACCCCAGAATCCCGCCAGCCAGCCATCTGAAAGCCAAACAACACGCTGCTATCAGAAGCCCTTTAAACATTTAGGATGTTTGTACCTTACGGAAACCTTGATGTTTCTCCCAGAATCCAAGGTGTCCTTCCTATCTGGTATTGCACCCAAAGTGCCATAAAGGTATGGTATGGGGTAGACTGTGCATCACCTCTGCAGGTCAGCTGCTGGATGTATGGACCCCCATCAGTCGGCAGACTTGAGAACTGCTAATCTGCCTCATTTTAACACAAGGTCAGCAAATCTGCAGTTCCTCACAAAGTGTTTAGGATTTTCACTTATCAAAATGGAGTGCCACAGATTTTTAACTTTCCAAATAAGCACTAATAGGCTTTTGGGGAGAAAAGCAGTGTAATAACTCTCACTCCTCTTTTATTATTGTCTACAACACCTGTGCATATGATCTGAAACTTTTGTTTCACCTGTGCAAAAGACCCCCACTCACCAAAAAAAAAATATTTGACACCTTCTCTGCAAAACTGTGGGACAGTAAAATTATGATCCATTCCTTCAAATGCCTTTGCTTCTGTGCCATTTCCTCTTAATCAAGTTCAGTTTTCTGTGAGTGAGGTCCCACTGCCTGTAATGGAAAACTATCCCACCTATGCAAGGATAAGTTTGGTCTCTCCTCGCCAGATAAGACCAGCTCTTGACTCTTTTATTCATCTAAGACCTATTTCTTTTAAACACATGTATCTGCTGGCAGTTTATCATCCAGACTTAAGCTTTCCTTCCCCCTAGTAGCTTGTGTCAAAACTTCACTTTGAAAACAGTATTTGGGGATGTGAGACTGCTAGAATTTTGTCCTGCTGTCTGTGTCCTTTTGTGGATGAATTCAACAATGCCTCAAGTTTTAATAATCTAAACTGGATATTCTTGTTGGCAGAAAAGCCTGGATATTGTTTCTTCACAGCATGGGAGATTTACCAGATGGCATAACAGCATTTTCAATCAATCAGAGTTGTAGCTCTGAAGAAAAAAAAATGCCTAAAACAATCTGAAAGGGAGGAAACTAAAATTCATCAGCCTCTTAGATAACTGCAATATAAGAAAGTCATGTTCTGTATTTTGACACTTCGTAGAAATCTGATATTCCCAGGGCCTTATCTCACATGACGTCTTTAAGTTATTTTGGCAATGTTCTTGTTTTGGTAGAAGGAAGGACTTTGAACTGTAAGCAGATCTGCAATCTAACCTTCAAAGAAATCAGTGTTCCCCTCCTGGAATGATCTGCAGTTGGGCACTGGTGTGAGTGGTCTGTTTTGCAGCCCCAGCACAGTGTGGGGATTTACTGAAAGAGTTCAAATTTCTCAGTGCCTGCTGCAGGTATGGCCTGAGAGCCTAGCTTTGTGTGCAGGGCTGAAGTAGGCCTTGTGGTGCAAAAAAGCTTGCAGATACTTATTTCATTCTATGTACATCTTTAATCCCACTTTCTCTGGCTTGTTTTGCATCACTTCTAAAAAGACTTCTTTGAATTGGGCCCACTTGTAAGCTGTGCTTAGCTTTCCGCACAGGCCCTTGGACTCAAGAGGATGGTGGCCTTAAACAATGTCCCTGAATTCACCCTGGAAGCGAAGGTGCACTTGCTTTGCCTGGCTCCCCATGGCTGCTGGATGTGAGCCCCGTTGCACAGGAGCACATGCCCTCTATGTGGGCTCCAGGAATCTTGTTCCCCTGAAGCCATGCAACAGAATTAATTACACTGTAGAAAGTTTCCCAGAAGCTGCAGGGGTGGGAGAGTGCTCCCAAGAGTTAGCTCCCCGGAGGCACCTGGGGATACCACACGTCTTGGTGTTCAGCAGAACCTGAGAACTTCAGTCACACTGGAAAATTTAAGTCAATTCCAGATAATTTATTGTGTTACCTAATTCAAAAAGTGCTCCATCTTGTATTCACCAGCAAGGAAGATGATGGCTGCAGCTGTGGGGAAAGTGCAAAGAGGCTGCTGGTAGGAGTGACTTGAGGGGTGACCTTTCTATGAAGGACACAAGGGATTTCCTGGGGTATGACTGATGGTGCACAGCAGTGCTTGAAGAGTTTCAAACTGCCTGTAGTGTTTGCCCGGTAGTCTGGTTTGCTCCAACTGGGGGGTTTCTGCTGGTGATGAGGATGGTTATCCCTGGTAACACTGAAACTCATCTTTTTCTTTTCTGGATCTAATTATCCTAGAGTTGTTACCAGTCATATTCGATGACTGCCAGGAGTCAGTTCTTCCAGCAGTCTTTATCTCACAGAGAGACAATACTGAGTTTCTTGTGTGATGGCGGGGCTTTACCAGGATTAAAAAGAAGTATGTCAGCAGGCACCTGGATCCATGTATATACACTTCTTACAGAGACATCAGATGTGACCCAAGTAGGGCATGTGGTAAGATCAAATACCAGATAGTAACATGTTATCAAGAGCATATTAGCAGCTGAGTGTCAAAAGCTGACACAGGCAATCTGTTCAAACATACATCCCTTGTATGCCAACATCAGTGGGGGGCACAGAGTATTCAGGGTAAGAAGGGTCAGGTCTGTATCTTCTTTCATGTTTTAAAATGGCTTTCTTGGACTTGTTAGAACACTTCTACAGAGATGTAATCAATGCTGGAAAAGGAAGAAAAAGACTGAGTTACAGTTGTAAAAATCTGTTATTAAACTGCACTGCATTGGCAAGTCTTGACGGATGTGGATGCTCAACTCCTCTGAAAACAGAAATATATGTGTAGGTGACAGAATATGGATTCAAGTGTGTCTTTAAGCAACACCAATTTGAACTTTAGCCGAGAAGATCCAGAACTGAGGTGCTTTACAGGTACTTGTTCTTACAATGGCAAAAATAATTTATCCAACACTCAGCCTTTCTCCCTTTTTTCTGTCACGGCTGTAACATCTGGTAGCCTACAGGAAGAGTCAGCATGCTGCAGTATGTCAAGGCTAAGACTCTAATGCATGTGTAAAGGGAAAATGACCTTTGGACGAGGTAGAGCCTTCAAGTCTGAGAGGAAACGAAGCCTGACCACTGCAGGTCGTAGCTCAAAAGCACAGTTTCCATGCATTGGCACAGTCTAACTTCAGTACTAAACTAGTCTAGGGCAGCAACTACCTGTGATCTGCAGACTAAATTTTCAGGATTCCTAACAGACCCTAAGAAAGAGTAGCGGAGAAGGGGAGTGCACCTCCTAGGAGGCTTCCATTTGCTTTAAGCATCCCCTGGAATAGTTCACTGTTTTAGGTGGTCATTACATCCCACTGACTTTACTCCTTTTAATAAATCTGTAAATTTTAATAGTTAGTTCTGCATTTATGCATGTGCATGTTGGGGTGTATAATATCTGAAGGGAAGGTGCAAAGAAGGTGGAGCCAGGCTCTTTTCAGTGACAGGACAAGAGGTGACAGGCACAAACTGAAACACAGGAGGTTCCCTCTGAACATCAGGAAACACTTTTTCACTGTGAAACAGGTTGCACTGAGAGGTTGTGGAGTCTCCTTCCTTTGAGAAATTGAAAAGCCTGGGGAACCAGCCCAGGGTGGCCCTGCTTGAGCAGGGGGATTGGACCAGATGACCTCCAGAGGTGCCTTCCAACCTCAACCATTCTGTGATTCTGTGATTCTCACACTTTTGCAGGTGTTTTCAGTGTATGTCTCACATTTTTCTTGTCTCTCAGTAAAGATACAGCAGTAAATCCAATAATGCCATTACTATAGTTGCAAATATAACAAAGCCTGTATACCCAGTGGACACTTGCTGGCACGTAAGTCTAACAAGAACACTGAAGGTAAGCATTTTAGGTAACCAAAGAATGTTTCAGTGATGTGCTTGTGACTAAAGATTTCCTACCTGCTGCTAGGCAGGTTGTGATAGATTTCTGTGCAACAAATGCTCACTTCACAGATACAGCCACCAACTCGTGGGGGACTGCTCACACTCTCAAATACTGCTGATCATACCAGAATGCTACTGTTCATCACGAAGCCCTGGTTGCCATATGATGTAGTGAGAAGGAGTATGCCATGGGATAGAAACAGAGCACATGGACGTTGGCAAAAGGAAGACTTCCTGCCCAGATCCCACCTTCCCTAGCCCAATGCTAAGATGCTGTTCAGTTAACCAGTGCCTCGTTCCAGTGTTTTACCCTCTATGAGGAAATTCTTTGCTTTGGAGACATAGATAGCCTGATTGGTGCAAGCCATGCTCTTGTGATAGTCCAGTTCAGAATTATCCTCCTCAAGCCACCTCAGGTAGCCTCTTCCCATGAGCTCCACCTTCATCACAGGATCCACCAGGGTACTCCTGGGGTTCAGAACCAGTTGGCCATCTATACTGGAGCTGTCCAAATGCACCTCAATCTCAGGCAGCACCAGGTTAATTGCTGTCACCGTCGACATGAGGGAAGAGCAGGAGCTGTGTGCTGCTGGGGTCCAGAGGTTGGATTGCAAGGTCATCTTCTCCAACCCCACCCCATGACACTGGGGTTTGTGAGGTCACAGCATGGGGGACAGCTGCATGGTGCCCCACAGAGAGAGAGAGCTCAGCTGTCCAACCTATGCCAGAGGGGATCAGAGCCATTTATCTGATTATTAGCAGCACCTAACTAACCGGCAAGCATTCAACTACACATTTAGGATTGGTATTGGCATCGCAGCACATAAACCACAATTCAAGACACTTAGCAAATGTTAATAAACACCCAGAAATTTCTAAGCGCACTTTCCATGAGTAATCCCCAAAACTTCTAAGCATGCACACACACACATGCATGGTTAGGTGCACCCCCCTCCTCTGGGGTGTTGGTTCCCCAACTCATGCATCTCTCCTTGCGGAGACGTGGGCGCTCTGCATGCACCCTACCCACTAATCCATCCACTGGTGAGAACACACCCCACAAGCCCCCACCCCACAGCACTGTACCCCATCAGCATCAGTGTGCTGGCTGCACACAGGCTGCTCACATCATCTGGCAGTGGTGGGCTGCTTCTGGCCACGCCAGCCCTGGTTTTGGTGGCCGCTGCTTCCCCTGTCCCACTCCCGGGTCTCGTCTGCGGTCACAACTTCTCACACTTCCTTGAGATTTCTTTCCAGGCTGACTCTTTCTACTCTCATAAATCTCCTGGTAATCTCCTGTCTACTGTTTAATTCAGCTGATGGTTGTCTCAAGTAAACTTCACCATTCCTACTTTCCTCATGGTGTTACCAGTTTTGGGCAACCACCTTTCCAGAATGCACAGTTTTGTGTATTTGTGTTCACACCCCCTGTGCGCACTCACCTCACTACCACTTTAGCTATTGTTATCTGGGCATGCTATCAAGAGGGAGCTGTGCAAACTTCCCCACAGCAAACTACTAGCAGTGGGTAGTAGATGTGGCTGATATTGCCAACATAAGCGGTGGCGAGAAGACTACAGTATCCCTCAGTGGGATCTGAGGACAGCAGGGCAGGTGAGTGGCCACCACACCACCCCTCTGAGCAGCAAAGTCCTGCAGGCCTGGCTGAAGCCAGCAGGCTCTTGGTCACCAATGCAGGACGATTGGCAAGGTTTTATTGTAATGTAGGAGGCTTTGGTGAAAATGGCTAAAGGCTGACATGAAGCTCAGCCCATTTTGTCTCCTGAACTCCTCTTTGTCATATCAGAGCAATTCCACCTAGCTGGAGCTGCTGCAACTCAATTATAATATTAAGGGGAAAGACATATTCCTCCAAAAACACCCCAAAACACTGTAAGGGCTAATCTGAGATAGACCTCAGATGCTGTTGGACACTTGGACCGAATGGGTGTGCCATGCTCTGACCCACATAGATTTGGGAAAGGAAGAAAAAGGGTGCAGCACGGGAGATTAGAAAGACATCTTCAGCCAGGGGAGGAGGGATGAAAACAGCTACAGCAAAGGTTGCAGTGAGGATCACGTCTGTGGCTGATGCCAGCAGACATCTGTGAGCCACTGATGAGTTGTGAGCCCAGAGTGAAAGTGCTGGCACCTGCTCTGCAGAACCCAATTCCAGAGGCAATGTTCTCAGCTGCAGGTTGAGGATGAGGGCACATGCTGAGAAATGCTGAAAATTAACTGATCAAGATGGCCAACAGTTTAGAAAACAAGTCACAGCAGCACGTTGAACTTTAAGCCTTTCCTCCTCCATACTAATTAGTCACTTGTTCCAAAACTGTCAAGATTCTCCCTCACAGACTCTGTACCCTACCCTTGCTTAAGGTGTTTTCAGGTGTTTCTTTTTAAAGGAGAAAAAGCAGTGAATTAACATGCTGACTGCAAAATGTCACTCAGTCTCAATTCTTGGCTGCTGCATCTTGTTCTCTGAGCCTCTGCTTGCCTTGCCTTGTTAAAAAATAGGCTCTTTGGGAAAGGAACTTTTCAATGCCCTGGGTTGTAGTGAGAAGGAACAGTTTATCCACTGGGCACAGAATTACCAATAACAAAAATAACCTTTTTCTTATTTACACTTGGCAGTTTTCAGCAGTCATTGCCTTGTGCAGAAGTTGTGTGGTTATGGGTGTAAAAAATAGCTTATAGCTACTTGCATGAGCGATAATATATCATCAAGTAAAAAATTATAATTAGTGATAATATATTAATTGAATGCTAGATTCCCATGGTTTGGTGCTCAGGCACTGATTTATGCTTTACAAAAATAGCTTATAGCTATGATCTCCATGCTGCCATTACACCAAAACAATATTTCATCTCAATCTGTACATCCCCTGAGAATTTTAAGTGCAATCTGAGCATGCAATCAGCCAGAAAAAGAGGAAGCATTGCTTTAATGTCATGGTTTGTGCTCCTTCCTTAACTCCAATTTCTGTCTTGAAGTTAGACCAGCTAAAAGTGAGTTGTGCAAATGTTGTTTCTTTGCACTTCGTGACATCTCTGGCAAAATGATCTTTAAATTCCATTTGCAGAAGAACAGTACAGTATACTTTTAATAAAAGTAAGCTTCAAAAGGTACGGTAGGGAGCATTATATTCTGTCTTTGCCTATGTTGATATGTGATGTCATTGATTTTGAGCTTTAAATTCATATTAGCCAAAACAGAACCTTTCATCTGAATAAGTTACACTTCAGAAGTCACAAATGAAAGTGGATCCATACCTCACTATGTTTAATTTTGCAAACCAAAAGCTGGCTTGCATAGCTTTGTCTCATTCATTTAAGCAGCTTTATGCTGTCCCACTATGTTTCATAGTTTTGTCCAGGCACCAGGGAGGACTGTGTCATTGTTTGCTCCTGGTTTCATTCTCTGAGACTCACATGAACATCACCTTAGGTTTGAGCCACCTGGTTTCAGTTTAAAATTTTAAAGCTGAAAACTTAAGGGGAAATGAAGGGCTTACAGTGAGCTTACAGTGTTGCGCTGTGATAAAACACGTCGGTGTAGAGTTGTGTCGACGAGGCCCCAGAGTAACCAAACTCAGCCCAGGGGGGGCGGTTGTCACTCTGGGTCTGCACAAGGACTGGCTTCCCCAGAGACCTCGAGGTCTGAAGGAACTGGATGTGGCAAAGCAGAGGGAAGACCCAGGCTGAGCTCTTGGGTTTATCATAGAACTTGGACTGGTCTGAACTTTAAGAGGATTTAATATAAAAGTGTTGCACAGATCTCGTTTGTATTCTGCTGCTTTCCATGAGTGTATGAAGGGCCTGCATTTGCACACAAATTTCCTCTGTGAGTTGAGCTGCCTCTGTAGCTCTCCTGATGGTGACATGTGGAAAATGGAGTACCTACATTTGAATTTTAAATTTCTTGTATTACAGGGGAATTAGGCCGTACTGATAGTGTTTTCGATGCGCTAAATGCTAGCACTAACGTTCTTGATGCCAACTTCACAACCACCTCATAGGCAGTGACATAGCTATGAAGAAACTATCATGGAGGACTCTTTGTACACTCAGTCCCTGTTAATACAGAGGTTTAACAAGAGAGCGTGAATCAGGCAAAGGAATGCGCTTTCTTTTTGCCAAGCAGTGTCTCTCTACGGAAAAAAATAATGTGTAATAAGCACTGAGTGGGATGGCCAACCAGAGCTAAATGGATAATTCTTATTTGGCATTCCCCTACAATGAGTGATTCACTTGGCAATCACAAGGTCCAATTATCTTTTAATACTCTTTTTTGGATGCGAATATGATATATGGTGTGTAAAAGTAGAAAACCAATGCTTTCACTAATAATGTTTTTAATTTTATTAGTGAAAGCATTGCAAAATATAACCTTTTTCAGCTCTCTTCTAACTTGGAAGATTTTTTTTTTACCAATATCGGTATTCTCCCTAATCCTGGTATTAATAATTACCTGTTATTCTAATGTGTTCTATGAAATCCACAGAGCAGAAGAACATGCCATTTCTACTGCCAGTTGGTTCTCTACCAACTTGTTCTGCAACAGATATAAAGAGCTGTGCCATAGAGCCATACAGGGAAACTAATTTCATCAGAGGGTACGGAAATGTAGTCACCAGATTTTTGTAAGCCACAATCTCATGGCACCTTTTTTTGTAAGGATCAGCATAAGTCAGGCTGACCGTAAATTCAGAGCATCTCCTTTATTCCTTGGCTAATCTCAACATTTAGCGAGTACATGCAAAAGTAAAAACCACTTTAAGAATTTATAACTGTACTTGGCAATTGAAGGGGGGTAAGAAATACAGCAGAGCCAGCAAGACTTTAAAGCTCTACCATGATAGATCTTACCTGGGGAAAGTACTGCAAAGCTGTCAATAGCTGCTTGTAAACAGTAGAGCTTGAAATAGGGAAAACATGTTTTTTCCCTGTCAGAATGGCACAAAGCCTTGGCTGAAGCCCTTGCCTGGCCTATCCATCCGGCTGATGTGAGAAATGAGATATTGATTTTTCTTATACCATACGATCAGAAACTTAGAGGAGTCACAAAGCTAGCAAACAACACACAGTTTATTACACTCTAAGTGAGATGTTGGAAAACTTTTGCAACACACATCTTTCTGTTTACCAAATGCAACTTAATTCACGTTATTAACCAAAGAAATATAGAACACACACTGCTAGATTTGTTTCTAGTGAAAACTGATGTAGCTAGGAATTGGCTTACGTGCTGCAGCTTTCCATGTTACAGATGATTTGTTCACTAAAAAGAAATAATTCCTTTGTTAAAAATAAGCTGTAAGTCTGTGATTTTTCAGAATCACCCCATTAAATTAGAAACACAGTTGCTGCTCATTTCAAGGAAATGTGTGCATCCAAATCCATTCTGTATCTTTGAAATTATCAATGTAAGCACCCAGAATAATCTCTTATCTAGAAAATAGTATACAAGAGAAAATCAGAGTGGAAAATTTCATATATTATAATTAAGAAATTTCAAGGTAAAGTCAAGAGTACAAGAAATTAAGATTTCAAAATACAA